TTTAATTGTGTAATATTTTTCTTTAAAATATTATTAATTGTTACAGTGTTTCTCTATATAGTTTTTTTTTTGTTTTTTTTATGATTTTCTCCAAAATTATCTTTTTTTTTTATTTTATTCTTTAATATTGAGCTAGTTAAGAATTACAGTTACAATATGTGAGGAAAACATTATAATTTTCCTCGCGAATTACTATAGATTGCTATAGTGTTTTTTTCCACATGGTTTTTTTTAAATTTTTTTTGTCAATTTTATTTTTTAAATATTAAGCTAGTTAAGAATTCTAATTACAAGTAAGACTAAATCATGTGAGGAAAACACTGTAACTTTCCTCACAAAACACTATGGATTGATACAGTTTCTTTTGTGCTTTCTTTTTTTGCAATATTTTTTTTTTAAAAATTATCTTTATCAATTTTATTTTGTTTAACATTGAGCTGATTAGAATTTAACTTTATAATAAAACTTAATCATATAAGGAAACCACTGTAGCTTTTCTCACAAAATATTGTGGATTGCTATAATTTTTTTATAATTTTTTCAAAATTATCTTTATCGTTTTATTTTTTTAATATTAAGTTGGTTGAGAATTATAATTATAAATCATTACAAATAAGGCTAAATCATGTGGGAAAGTACTGTAACTTTTATCACAAAATATAATGAATTGCTAAAATGTTTTCAATATTGTTTTTTCTCTTTATTTTTTTGTATTTTTATATATTTTTTAAATTATCTCTATCGATTTTATTTTTTTAATATTAAGCAGATTGAGAATTTAGCTTTGTAATTTTTTTCTCTTTAAAACGGTGTTGTTTTCCTCACAAAATACTACAGATTACTATAGTATTTTTCAATATGATTTTTTATGATTTTTTTTCTAAAATTATATTTGTTAATTTTATTAGGGAAAGTATTATAGTTTTCCTCACAAAACATTGCCAATTACTACAATGTTTTTCCTTATAGGTTTTTTCTTTCAAAATTATCTTTGTTGATTTTTTTAATATTTAGTTGATAAAAAATTTAGATTTGTAATTTTTTTATTTTTTTATTAAAAATAAATAAATTATATGGTTAAAATACTGTATCTTTTCTCACAAAACAGTATAAATTACTACAAATCATTTTATTTAGTATCTAAATTTTTTTTATCACTAACATAATTTTTTTTCTTATTATAAAATATTATTGGCTTCATTATATCTTTAATTTATATTATTTATTTAGTACTTATTTATAATTATAATGCTATTAAATATATTTATTTCATAAATGCACGCTGAATGACTTCTCGTGTGTATTATATGCTGTAATTTTTAAACGAGAAAGTGGCTAGCTAGGAGAAGATTACATGTGGCCTTATGTATCCTTAAAAAATATGTCGACTTCGATGATGTCCCCATTTTGTCGTGATCAGCTTCGATGATGTCCCCGTTTTGTCAACGTTGAATATTTTATGATCATGATTAGAATGCTAATTTGATTATATTTAAAACACTGGATAATACATATAGTTTTACGATTCAAATATTAGAATTTCAAGCATTTTTATGTAATTAACACATATTGTGTTAAGTTTTCCCTCCATTCATCTTCTCCGAGAGTTATTGTTAAACTTTTTTATATATTAAAAATTTTAAATTAAAAAAAAAATCTATATACCCAAAGTTGTTAAAAATATATTTTTAACAAGCTACAAAAAATACAAAATAAATTCAAATCATAAAATTATATAGAAGTTTTTTTATATATATAGTTCTAGCACCTTAAAATATATAGTTCAAATAAAAATTTATACATAATTCATGTATCTTAAAATAAATGATTTAAATAAAAATTCATACATAATTTAAATAATTTTTTATTAACTAATAATTAACAAATTCAAAACAAATAATCTGTTGGTATGTCATGTAAATTAAAATTAATTTTATTATTTCTATTTTTTTTTATTATTTCTCAAAAATATATCAATATTATTATCATTAAAAAGATTATCGTTATCATAAATATAATTTTTCTAACCAATAAATAATGGCAAAGTACTCATTCTCTTTTAGGTGAGCCCTGGAAGCACTTAAGTTCATACCAAACTTAATTTTGATAATGCCTATCAAAGCTATTGTCTTTAGCTAAAATATAGTTTATTTTGTATCTAAAACCAGTTTATTTTGTTGCTTATCCTCCCATTTCTTTCGAAATCATTTTCTTTTTTATTCTTTTTTCCTTTTTTTCTTTGTTTTTTTTTTATTTACCCTACCCTAACCATTCTTAATATCAACAGGTTTTTTACTATCATGACCGTAAATTTTATAGTTTTTATTATTCAATATATTTATTTTTTTATTTTGAAAATATTTATAAAAATTATAGATTATTTTTTTAAATTATTTTTTATGATTTTAAATTATTTTAATATGCTGATATTAAAAATAAATTTTAAAAAATAAAAAAAATATTATTTATATGTAAACATCATTTAAATTGATTGATAGAAGAAATTGATTAATTAATTGTTATAGTATAACAATAATATGAATCATTCTATGTAAAATTATAATGAATGATGCGTTTTAAAATATTTTTTTATTTAAAATTATATTAAAATAATTTTTTATATTAATATATTATAATTATATAAAAATATTTTGATGTTAAAAACACTTTTAAAAAATCTAGAAACACAAACAAAAACTATGCCAATTGCCAAATATCCATTAATATAAGATTGATTCTGACAATTTTTTTTTTTATTTATTTACGTGGGGTGTCCGGGCCAGCTTGCGCGCACCACG